CGTGTTGCTGAGTGTCGACCAGTTGCACAATTTTGATGTGATAATGACAGGTTGGCTACGATTTGCTTGAAGAAGTCACAAGATGGAATACACCAGAACGAATTAACACTATGTATGGGATAGCTGGCTTAAAACTATTGATCGATGACCCGACAAGTCGCCACTGTAAAACATCCTTTGTTACAGAATCAGATTTCTAGCTCTAAATGTTATGATGCTTCGTTCAAACTTGTTAAATTCCAAGGGCATCTTGGAAGTCAGATGACATCTATAAGGGACACAGCGCCATAAATTTCATTTAGAATCGCAATGGTATCTAGTGCCTTTAACAAACTGTCTAACATCTGGGAAGCCAAATACACTCAGCAATCACACAAAACCTAAGATCTTCATCTCTCGTATGATTCCAGTGTTAACTTATGGATACAAGAGTTGGAAATCAACGGTAGTTCTAGATTTGAAAAAAAAAATTTGACACTTTTGAGAACACATGTCTTAGAAGAATACCAAATTTCCGTTAGACAGATTTCAGATTCAGTACGCAGACTGGACAAGAGACCAAACAAGACACTGTATCCAATTTTATAAGAAAGCGCCGCTGGAACTATACCGGCCATGCACTCAGAATGGACAAGACAAAACTTTCCCATAAGGCCCTCATATAGACACCGGAAGTAACAGGAAACGGAGAAGGCCAAGCGAAACTCTACGTAGAACCATTATCAGGGAAGGCTCAACCAGGGGCCTAACAAACAACCAAGACCTGAAGCATTTGAGCAGCGAACCGCCAGACTTTAGAGCTATGGCCGCTGCCCTATGCGCCGCAGTAGGCTCAAGAGAAATACTAACTAATGGAATAGAAGCAGTTAATCTAACAATTTCAACAAAGCGGATTAGCGTAACAAATAGGCAGGTTACATTTCTCATCATGCCTGGTATTCACATAGTCAATATAACGGCTCGCACTGATGTGACTAGAATGAGAATGTAGCTGTCACAGAAAGGTACGGACTGGTAGCAGTATTTCCATATACACTAGGTATTAATACCTGGTTAGAATGACTCTTTTTAACACCAAACTCTTGATTTTTCTAGGATTATTCTATGTGGAAATACAGTTGTTAGAAATAACTTCTGTGAACTTAGCTGTACTTAGTGGCTTAGTGATGATAAAGGTATTACTAGTACAATAAACTCTTAGAGTTAATTTGATAGTCGCTTAGTGCAATATTATCTATCGTCTAGTTTATGCCTTTTTCATTGGACAAAAATGTCATGCTAAGGTCCGTGTAGCATGGGGCGGGAAAGTGTGGAAGGGAGTGGGAATAAAGGGAAAACAAATATTGAGGATATGTAGAGAGCTGAGCGTCTGAGAAGAAGGCAGTTAAATTCCTACGAGGGCAACAATGGTTCAGAAGTTGTGGAAGACTTTTCTTAACACGGGCCGGTCTTGCCAGTCGCACTCGCCATGACCATGAGCTACGATTCCCATGCCTCTCCATAATACAGTATAACACTATTGTCTAAAAAGAAGGAAAGGCACCAGCAACAAAGTTTATACTCTGAGGTGTTACTTTTACAACAGTAATCTGTATAATTTATTTATTTTTACCAAATGGATACATCATTAAGGGAGTGAGGCAGGGATGCATTCTCTAAACATACCTGTTCAAAATATACGCAATACGCAACAAATATAATGAAAAATGTCAAAAATGACCAGACTTGTGACTGTTATGATCCGCTCAAAATTGATGGCAACCCTATTCAGGAACTTCGCTACACAGGTGACAAAGACCCCCTTTCGAAGAGGGTGTCAACATATGTAAGTACGTTATGACAGTGGAAAGAAGGTGGGTGTCAACATATGTAAAACATTATGATAATGGAAAGAAGCAGGGTGTCAACATATGTAAAAACGTTATGATAATGGAAAGGAGTAGGGTGTCAACATATGTAAATACGTTATGAGAGTAGAAAGGAGCAGGGTGTTAACATATGTAAATACATTATGATAGTGGAAAGGAGCAGGGTGTCAACATATGTAAATACGTTATGAGAGTAGAAAGGAGCAGGGTGTCAACATATGTAAATACGTTATGAGAGTTGAAAGGAGCAGGGTGTCAACATATGTAAATACGTTATGAGAGTTGAAAGGAGCAGGGTGTCAACATATGTAAATACGTTTTGAGAGTAGAAAGGAGTAGGGTGTCAACATTTGCAAATACGTTATGATAGTGGAAAGGAGTAGGGTGTCGACTTATTGAAATACGTTATGACAGTAGAAAGGAGCAGGGTGTCAACATATGTAAATACATTATGATAGTGGAAAGGAACAGTGTGTGAATAGTGGAAAGTGGTAGGATGCCATCATATGTAAACAAGTTGTGATAGTGGAAAAGGGTAAGGTGCTAACATATACAGACGAGTTAATGATTGTAGCTAGTGCCGTTTTAACAACATTGTGGGCCTACGGGCAAAGCAATGAACCTTACTCTGCCTAGGCAACACGCAACAGGACAAATGTGAACTCTGCGGAAAGTCTTGCTAGTTCGCTCCTTTTTGGTCTTTGCTTGCGTTCCAGGATTTGAGTTCTACATGGTCATCTGTTGTACAAATCTGCCTTTTTGGATGCAATTCCTTTCGGTCCTTGCCTCTCAGACATCTGTATTCCCACATTGTAAAGAATTAGATTAACTATTTCTGACTAACTGTGTCTTTATGGGGCTTCTTTGACATTTTTTTATTTATTTTTATGCGGCTTGAAGTAACAAACTTGTTCTGTTCTAAAAACATGTAACTTTAGGTAATCAACGTTTCCGTTTGAGGGGTTAAAATATAGTATTTAGGGACATCATCGGTTAAGTAACATTTAGGGCAAGGTGAGAAAGTCAAATTAACGAATGTGTCACACGAAGTTCAGAAAAGAGGACAATGTCAGTTGATGCTTAGAAAGGCATGATACATTGCTGAATAGTAAATGAAGGATCCTCGGCAGTGCAATAGTGCCTGTGCACTGTGCTGAGCTTCTTCGTACTAAGACTTGAGTTAGAAGAATGGAACATTCATGGGTTACACCCATGTGCCATGATGTTGATTCGTTGTTCAAAACTTCAAAGTATAACCATCTGAATGTGTTCTGTGCCAGATGACCTGTGCTAGCAACGGATGCCGCAGCCAACACTCCACTAAGCAAAATTACCACAGATAAGAGGAGGGAAAAAATGTATCACTTGAAGGTTTCAAGAGCAAAGGTAAAGGTCATTTCATAGCAGCAGCCGGTGTGCAGTGCCAGATTTTGCTAAGTTCACACATACTAGGTCACAGTTTTGTGGGGCTGGAAAGAAGGATAGCGTGTAGGCTGCGTGATTTGAATGTGTGGAATTGGATATGATTACATAGAGTCAATAAACTGTGTGGAATGGGATTTCCCTATGCCGTTTGGGAGCATTCTGGAGCTTTGATGGATCAATTATGTTTAATCTTCCCGAGTAAGGCCTTGTTTCAGAAACCAGTGCTAAATTACTCCAAGAGTTATTGCGCTGATGGTATTCTTGAGTGCCTAGTTTATTTTGATACAGCAGACTACATAATTAAAATAAGTAGGTTGAAAAACTGAAGTCGAGTGGATCGACTGATTGCATTTGGTTTTATCCTAAATAGCTCGGTCTGTCTCCGAAGAACGGCTAGCCGCCTGCTGAGAAAGTTACACAAATTAGGAACTCTGTAGCTCTAGCGACGATCCCCTAAGAATGTTTGTAAAAACTTCACTTGTAATGGGAACAACGCGTTTATGATACAAACCCATGTTTAGACTGCGAGGTTAACGGACTGGCCACTTCTCAGCGAACTACATAATTAGAATACAAAGGAAAGAAGAGGCCTAATGTAATAAGTAAACTGATCCATAAATATATACAAATATATATATATATATATATATATATATATATATATATATATATATATATATATATATATATATATATATATATATAAAATATAAACAAGCAGACAATGTATTGATCGGCACTCGTAGAAAGAAAAAGAAAGACAAATGTTTAAAAATGTTACCTTCAACTAAGAGCTTATGCTAATTATTGATGTAGTAAAAGAAACCTGTAACGGCTGCTAAAGCGCTTGCCTGATGATCCTATAGCCCATAGATCGAATCTCCATAGAGAAGTATCGTTTCAAGTATTTTGGTACGAATAAGGAGTTACAATAACTTGTCTGTTCTGAAAACATGTTACTTAGGGTAATCAACGTTTTCGTCTGGGGGGTTAAAATAATAGTATTTAGGGACATGATAAGTAACATTTATGGTGAGGTGAGAAAGTGAAATGAACGAATGTGTCACAAGAAGTTCAGAAAAGAGGATAATGTCAGTTGACATTAAGAAAGACATGATTAGTTGCTTAATAATAAATGAATACAAGAAATCCTGCTGAGAAGGTTGAAGACAGGGATGCTTCGAGCAGAGTGGCAAGTTTCACTAGAAAGGTCACGGGTAGTGAGTATACTTTGGATCTTTTTCCGCAGGCCATGCCAGCGTGGTGGGTAATAAACAGCCAGATAGATTGGCTGGATCTGTACCACTAGTTGATGAATTAATACATGACAAGGTAGATGTGGTCAAGGCCCTTTTGGAACCAGCAATGAAATCAGTAGAGATAGATGATTATTTTGGCCTGAAGAGAATGAGGCATCTGGAGGTACCGAAAGTGTCTAACCGGTTCACTATACTCAGATGAAAGGCAAGACGGACATTTAACCAGATTGTGAAAGGCACCATCAGTACTGGAACTCTGCGCTGGCTGCCGAAGACGAGGACGGAAAATGCATGGAAATTCCTCGAGTGCTGTGATGTCAGTTCTTGACTCAACACGACTAAACTCAATTGAATACAAGTGACCCACACTTCCAGACTGTAATCTTCATTCTTTATTAACCAAACTGCATTTGTTTCTAACAGGCATAACATTCCTAGACCTGCAGCCATGCATCTTGATCAGATTTCAGTTCTTCTCGGAGAGTTCGGACCGTATCAGAAACAGAAGTATTTCCTAATGTGTCTGTTCTCCACACTATCAGCTTTTCACGCCGTCAACATGGTATTCATTGGCGCGGAGCAGAAACATCATTGCAGCTTACCGGACACCAGTCACTACCCCACAGCGAACCAGAATTTCAGTTATCAAGACAGAAAGGATCTGTTCATTCCACCCGGAGTTAGCTGCCAGCAATACGAAACCACTGAAAGATTGTTGCAGTTAGAGAAAGCCGGATATAATATTTCAGAAACCATGAAGTCACAGGATAACGCTAGTCTCGTTGCGTGTACATCTGGATACAGTTATGCGAGGGATGAATATGTGACAACGATAACGTCAGACGTAGGTAGTTTTTATTATCGATAGTGGCATTTTCATCATCACCATTATCATCATTGTCGCGTCATCGTCATCAACATCAACATCATTGTGTTGTTGCATGATATGTAACACAAAGTTCGCAGTCTATTCTTCCATTCCGTTCTATCCTGTGAAACTCTTTCCTTATTCTGGATTGAATTGACTCCACCACCTTTGACCTCTCTCACCAAAGTTCGTTTCATGTTTCTCTTGGACGACCTTCTTATTTCTCTCAAAAATAAAGTATACTATGCCCTTCAACACCTGCTAAAGTCGATGTCTGTATCTCGCAACACCAAGATCAAAAAATTAAAAACGTTTAAAAGACCAGTCGTTTTGTATAGCTCTGAAACTTGGAGCACAACTAAAAGAGATTAAGGCTTATTACAGGTTTACGAAAACAGTATTACAACAATTCTTTGGACCTATCAAAGATGTAAACCGCGGGGAATGGAAACAAAAAGCAACAACGAAATTCATGATCTGTTTAAATCACCACTGATCATTGGCATCATGAGAGCTTATAGGTTGAAATGGCATGTTGAGATAATGTCAGATGATGGAGAGGTAAAAACTGAATACACAAGAGAAATACAAATAAAAGAGAAATGAATGGTCGTAGACCACGAGGCAGACCAAGAAGACGATGGAGAGATAATGTCTAGAGAGACCTGCAAACACTTCGTATCAACATCAGAGCACACGGGTAGCAACCCATAAGTGCTCTGTTCTTTCTTCTTACTCAAGTCTATGTCCGAAGAAGCTCAGCACAGTGCACAGGCTTTGTAGCACCAGCGAGATCCTAAAATACTTTGGGTAGATCTTTAACTAAAATTTGTTTGAACTTGAAGTTCAAGTCCACATGAAAAATCTCAACCCTTACCAGGGATTGAACCAGGAACCGCTAGCACCCGAGGCGGACACCATGCATCGAGACCATGCAGCCCCTTAAGAAAAACAAAAAGAAGAAGACCTTATTTCGGTGCGTGTTTGATGACTCTCTTCTCGCATCTTCTCGGGGTGTGACGAATATCGTGCGACGTCATTCGTCGTATTACTGTCCAAAGAGTGGTTTACCGGACATTTCTCTTCTTTCTTCATAATCTTTATTTTTGACATCTATATTTTCTACACCAGGTTTGGGGTTTGAATACCGGATCAACATCATAGCAAACCGGTAATAACTCATAGGTGTTCCGTTCTTTCTTCTAACTCAGGTCTGAGCCCGAAGAGGCTTAGCTCAGTGCACAGGCTCTGAAATCCTGAAATACTTTGGGTAGCTTTTTAACTTCAAATTTTTGCACGGACTTTGCCGTTAGGCTACTCTTTTTCATTGCCAACTTCCAATGGATTTTTTTTTGTGCGCAACAATGCACACGGGCGTCCGATCTCACTACCCAAATAAGGTTAGTTGCGTATCCTTTACAGGACGTTGAGGACCGAACCCCAACAGCCCCTGGCTGTTGTGTGGTTTTTCTAGACAAATTTACGTCCAGTAGTTCACTACCCAAATACCAGAGGAACATTACTAGAAGTCCAAGCCAACGTGAAAAAATTCCAGCCCTTACCGGGGATTGAATCCGGAACCTCTAGCACTCGAGGCGGACACCATGCTTCTAGACCACGCCCCCCCCCCCACCCCCATTTTCTACACCATTCATATAGTTACATCGGATGCAGACTTGTGCAATTTTTGAACATCTGTATTTTCTGGTTACATCCGATGCAGATTGTTATAATTTCTCACTGCTGTATTTTCTATACCATTCATCGCATAATATCAGATATTACAATAATTTAAAATATAAATATTTTTGAATGGTTGATGGTAGAGAAAAAAAAAACCATCACAATTGAATGCCACCGATTGTTACCCCCACCCCCACCCCCCTCTACCCCCTCCCAATCCCCAATCTCTCTCACTCTCTCTTTTTACAGAACAAAAAATAATAATAACTTCTCATAGTGGAAGAAGGTGAAAGTAAGGCCTTTATGGAGCTATAAGAGTTAAATCATCAAATAGGCAGGGATTAAATGTGAAGTGGCAGTCGCCGTGACAGTGGAGGCTAGACGCCCGCCTGCGGATCAGAAGGTTGTAGTTTAGCGTCTTCACGGAGCCGGACTTTTTACCCGAAAAAAATAACCCCGACTCCCAGGTCGACTCAGCCTTAAAAAAGTACCAGGTGATGCTGACAAAATCACCAACTAAGTGCCGACTGGTCTCTAAAACTATAGGTCTAGCCCTATATTACCAATAGACCTAGAGGCGTGGGAAAGGGATTTTTACTTTAAACTGTTAGCACAGTGTTTCCAAAACTTTTTTTTATGTCGCTGGCGCCTTTTTTAATGTAAGTAAAAGTATTACTATATATCGTATATAACTCGTCTATCTTCAAATATTTCGGGGTGCCCCTGTGAAGAGGCCGCAGCTTCCCGGGGCGCCGCGGCACTCAGTTTGGGAATCACTGGTTTAGTCCAATTTAGGAAACACATACCTTTACCATAAAATACATGAGGACAGTCGCGGAATATAAGTTACTTAAAACAAATTACATAGTCAAATGATGTCGACGTGGCATTAGGCTCATCTGCAGGTTCGAAGGTTTTGAATTTGAATCCACAGCAAGTTTAAAAACAACATTTGATTCCAAATCGTCACAACATAAAGAGGATACCAGGAACATACTAGGAAGTAAAGACGGCCGACGCGAGGTTAACCTTATCACACATAGAGTGCCATTTGGTCTATAAAAATATGAGTCTAAGTGTTATTTATACCAGTGTTCCTCAAACTGTTTACCCCAGCGGCCCACCCAAACTATGGGAATTTGTTTCGTGGCCCGATTGACAGCTAGTAAAAACAGAGAAACAAAAATAAGCAGGGTACGGTAAGTTGTACCCCACCAGGACGTCACAAAGTTGTGCTGTTACACCAATGCATCGCGGGTATATCCCAGTTCAGTGAAGTCGCCTTTCTCACTTTTTGAACAGTGTGCTTGTCAGATGAGACCAATACCACCTGAGCACATTCTCGAAGCCTGCCTACTATACTCACAACTACGAAGAGAAACCCGGTCTCAAAAGCGAAGGATGCAGAGCATGCTAGCATGAAGCAAGAGTGACCTACATCTGACATATCTATTCATAGAGATAACCCGTCGATCTGACCTGAGCATACGAAAACGAACGTAAAGAAGAAGAAGCAGAACATCATTATAAAAAAAAAAAAAATACATTCAACAGATATAACAACTATAGAAAACAAGGAAGTTCGTACATCCTCCAAGATGTAACTCGTTTGATACCATGTTAAATATCATGTGTTTATCAGTTGTGCCACCTGTCTGGTAGGCATGTAAGTTGTACCCCACCAAGACATCACACTAGCAATAAACACCCGGTGATACAAAGTGACCACCATGCGAATGAGGATCACCCACAGAGGGCTCCAGAACACTTCATTTAACCGTTGGGCCATATTTGAGACCGGGATATATTGAGGACCCCCAGCAAAAGCCAGTGTGGGGCTTCAAAATACCTAAAAATTGCGTCCCACATGGAGACGACCTTATTAACAATACATTTGTGGCACCACCCTAACTTTATAGGAACCGCTTGGGCCAATCGGTCTCAACCTTTCTAATGCCACGACCCTTAAATACGTTCCCCATGTTGTGATGACCCCAACCATAAAATTTTTTTTATTTGCTATTACATTACTTCAGTAAATATTTGTTTGCCGATGGTTTAGGTGACCCCTGCGAAACGGTCGTTTAACCCCCAATGATATAGACGCTACGTGACTGATTGTCCTTTTCCCCAGCGCAGATCAGACTACAAGTTACGTAACTGTCAGGGGCCGTAAGGTCTCGCACGTACGCACGCACACACACTTAAACACACACACACAAACGAACACTCACAAACACACACGTGCAAAAACTCAGGCGCGAATTTTAAATAAACATATGACACATATATAAACTTGTATTACGCTGCATGTCGTAATATATGGTGCGCTTCAGTTACTACAGTTTTAGACCTAAAGGTCGAAAGTTAACAGCAACATCAAGTCACTGCAGACATCTTTACATATTCAAACATACATACGTGCGCGCGCTCACACACTGGAGCCTTTAGAACTAGAAAAAACACATACTTCAAAGCACATTAAAAAAAAAAAATATTGAACGAAGGAAGCATGATTAACGGAAAAGACGTTAAGACTCTCCAAAGGAACCGGAAGAACATTTTTGTGGAAGTATTTTGAACAAACTATTTTACCAGCCATGTTGCCTTGACGGTTACCTCTGAAGTTCTGGCAATTGAAACTTTCTGCACAAACAAATATTCTTTTATGTAGGCGCTGCCATCTACTTAAACGGATTACGGCTTGCAGCTGACATTTTAATATTTTAGTTTTAGGAGATGCTGCTTTATAACTCGTTCAGTCCCAAGAAAACTTGGAAAACAAATTTACATAAAATAAAAGCAGAGGAATCTTTTCCACGTCTTCAGGCGTATTGGGCATAAATAGCTAGACCTATATTCTATAGACCAGTCGGCTCTCAGTGGGTGATGTGGTCAACATCACGCGTCCGCTTTTCCCTCCCAGGACCATACCTAGTACTAACTCATGGCTGGGTCGACCTGGGGGAAATCTGAAGAAGTTATTAAGTAAAGGACAGAAAATGAAAGTAGATCTCCCATGATGGGTTTCTCATGTGTTTATTTGCGTGCGCTTGATCATCCGGACTTCACTGAGGATATTTCCCCTTACAGCTCATTCACGGTGCTTGCCAGCCAAGAAAAAAAAAAAAAAAAAAATGCAGAGCAGATACACAAAAAGTTTTCGTATACTAATAATTCCTGTCTTAAAGGAATAGTTAACAAATGTTGCAGTCTTATTACAGTGATATGCGTACACTACCAACGTTTACATAACATAGAAGTAGATGCATAAATAGAGCCTAGCGTAACAGATGCAAATACGAATTGATTATAGAGATAACAAGTGTAGGCTTTCACAATCAATATATATATATATATATATATATATATATATATATATATATATGAGTTGGTAGTCGCCGTGGCAGGTCGCAAGGTCATGGGTTTAGTTCCGGGCTCAGAAATGATTTTGACTCCCAGGTCGACCCAACCTTTATTGGGTACCAGGTGCTGTCCCGGGAAGTAAAGGCACCCATCTTGTGCCGATTGGTCTATAAAAATATAGGTCTAGCCCTGTATGCCCTTTACACCTAAAGGCGTGGAAAAGAGACCTTTAGTATTTCAGAATATATATATATAAACTAGCTGTACCCGGCCACGCGTTGGTGTGGCATAGTTTGGCTAAATGAAAATGAAAGAAAATAGAAATCGCACGTGTCTAATACAATCATTGTCTGCTCAGATATAGAGATAGTCTTTGATTCCCGCCCCCCCCCCCCCCCACCACCACAACTAAATCCACCTAATACTCTCTCCCTCATCAAAGGTTTTTGGAAAAAAAGACAATGGAAATCGCACGTGTTCAAAATAGTTAATGTCGCAATCATTTTCTGCACAGATATAGAGATAGTCTAGTTTTCCAACTTTAGAACACGCACCTTATAATTGTTTCTTTATATTAGTGGTCGTTTAAATGGTGTTATTAGCACAGTAACAAAAATGGTTATTTGGTTATCACATGCTAAAGCTGTTTGTATTTTTATAGGGGACGAAAGTAAAGCTACAACTGTACTTGTGAATAACAAAGTAAGTCGTAAAAAATAGAAAAGCGGAGGTAGCATTAGTAAAATATAAACAAATTAGGTAATGAGAACTTGAAAATCACGTGTAAAGCTCTTTAAGTTCTCTTAAATTTAAGTCATTACCCCCACCCCTCCCCTCTTCCACCGACTACTGCTCTCTCTCTCTCTTCGAAGAATTTAAAAATCATTACCTGGCGATATTTTTGTTGTTGCTGTAACTGACATTGACATCCCTGTCCATCCGGACTAAAATGGGGAGCAGGAATTGTAATCGGTAGTGAATGGAGCTAGTGTAATATTTACCACATCATCCTTCAAGTACCAGTACAACTACTACCACGACCACCACCACAGTAGCTAAAATAATGTCACTGCTGTCTGTGTTACGATCGGAGTAGACAGAGAGTCGTGAGCCAGAAGATTTGGTTCCGCATGGCTAGTGCTGTCGCCACAGACTGGTCAGGTTAGGATGTATAATTTCGCTTCCCGACAGAAGAATGCCATAACCTTACCGGCGGTCTTCACATGAGAGCACTACGGTGAAACAGCCCAACCACAACTATTACTGCTGCTGCTACTTTTAGTGGGTAAAGCAGTTACTGTGACTTAAAGCTCTCTCAGTTAACAGTTTGCCCACCCCCCCCCCCCCCCCTTCTCCAAAACAAAAATTCACCGACAATTCTTTCCCTCATTGAAGTAGTTGGAAGAAAAAAAAAAGAAAAAAAAAAAAAAAAAACACTTGAAAAGCAAATGAAAACAAAAAAAAAAAAAAAAAAAATAATTAGAAAATGAACGGTATGGTAAACAGCACAGTTTAAAATTCCAACGCAGATGAAATAACTAAATCTAAATGAAAATAAATGGAAAGCTATGAAATTTCAGCGTAACCATGCAATCGGAAAGTTTAAAAGTGCAATCAAAAGTATGCGAAATGGTCAAATTTAATTATCAAATAGTTTATCCATTTACTTGTCTTTTTTTTTTTTTTTTTTAGTATTAAGGGCAACATGGCTAGTGCTGTCACCACGACAGAGCAGATAAGGATATTATTTTAGTCCGTGGTAAAAAAAAAAAAAAAAAAAAAAAAATTTACTACTGCGGATTCGAACCCTGGTCTCCCGCACAGGAACCCAGTGTTGTAACCATTCGACCAAGCAGCCACTTCAAGGAGCAACGAAAAGTGAACTAAACTATTGAGATGTGTGTCCCTACTACTGTGTCTGATTATAACACAACTCAAAACCGCAGGCAATTGTTTTCTCATAGACAGATACTCCAGATGTATTAATGAAACGGCACAACAATAGAAATCGCACGTGTCTAACACGGTTAATGAAGTTAATTTCGCAGTTAATGTCTGCGCCGACGTCGAGATAGTCCTTGATGCCCCCCCCCCCCTCCCTTTCCCATCGAAGGTTGTTTGAAAAAAAAACACCAGAAAATAGAAATCGTGTTAAAGATGGTTATTGTGGCAATCACTGCCTACACAAATATAGAGATAGTCTTGTTTGCTGTACCACGACCGACTCTATGTTATTAGAGAAGGCGTTGGCTGCACGTAACTCGCCGGCGAATGGCGGAAGCCTTGCGTTCTGACTACGGCACATGCGCAATGACTAACGTGGCTATAATTAGATGTCACTAACAATTTAAATATTATTTTCGAATATTTTTTCTTAAATTGTGGTCACCTATCTCTAACAGTGACAGGTTGAATTTCAAACCATGATGGTTCAACATCCGGTATCAAAACAAACATATCCTGAAAGTTTCAGCTAAATCGGTTCAGTAGTTTCCGAGTCTATAGGGGGCAAACAAACACACAAACATTGCTTTTTATATATATAGATTAATTGCGTATCCTTTACGCGTCGTTTCAGAACCAACCCTATCCTTTTTTTGACTGGTATGGTTTTCTTGGGGCAAATGTCATTAGTTTGTCATTTCTTTACAACTGTTGAAACTAATTCAGCTGGGATCGAATCTGGTACCCCGGCTTTATAAAGCATATTCGCAACATCTAAGATGTATATATATTTTCACTCCTTTTTAAATCACCCCATTTTACTTTCATCTGTTTGCTCACTCATTTGTTTTCAAAAGCATCTAACTTTTGTTCCATGTATTGTGTAGTTCTGCAACTTTCACCTGCATATGTTGAAACTGAAATAACGCTATACATGAAACCATTGGTTTTACAACTATATAATTAGAAGTTTCATATTTTGTTCACGCAATTAAAAGCTCCTGATGCGTTGCCAATGCGTTTCATAATTTATTTCTTTATGCTTCCTTTACTATCAAAACTACTACCTGAATAAGTGATCTGTTACTTTAAATAATTGTGTCTATAGAGTTACATCTGCTTGATGTAATATATTTTGTAGACTCATTAGTAATAAAATTAACGGACGAAAATGCCTAATTAGGATATCCTGATATAAATTTATTCACGGAAAGTACTAGTTACCCGCGGCCAATGTAGACAGTAAACATTCTTCGGTTACATCCTGTGAAGGGGACAACTTAAGTTTGCCGTAAAAATGACAGAGCTGGAGGGTAGGAACACAGAAGGTCACGTCCACGCCTTCAGGCGTATCATGCATATAGGGCTAGACCTATATATTTTATAGGCCAGTTGGCACTGGGTGGATGATGTGAACAGCATCAAGCCGACAACCGTTATTTCCCAGGACAGTCCCTGGTACCCACTCAAGAATGTGTTGACCCGATAGCCAAAGTCATTTTTGACAAAAGTCTGGCACAGTCCGGACCCGAACCCATGAACTTCCGACTAGCCGCTACTCCTAGGCACTAAAACACATACTAATAAACTACAAACGTGCCTTATCTGGTGCCTGCGGCGTATAGAGGGAATTCAATAACATGATAGAATCAGGAGTTTTGACCTGTGGAAGAGAACACATTCCAGTGAATAAAGAGATGAAGAAAAGACGCTACTGCTGGATAGGACCACACGTTGAGAAAACCTGAAAACACTGTAACTAGAATGTCTTTTCGCTCAGTGGTGTGTGTGTGTGTGTGTGTGTGTGTGTGTGTGTGTGTGGTGGGGGGGGGGGGGGGGGGAGGTCTTACGGGGCTCACCAGGGTGTCATCAAAAACGGGGAGGGGGGAAGGGGTGTGACAAAATAAAAAATTAAATGTTTTATATCTGAGGAGGGATGAACGGAAACGATCCACAGCGGGTACCACTCGACCTAGCAGTGTTTACATTAGAACCCAGAGGGCATAAAAGCACACATGACCAAGACAAAAAAAAAAAACTGCTGACATGGAGAATCAAGCTATAGTGAGAAGTTAAAAAGACTGGGAGGACATGAGGCCAGCTGTATGCAATAGCAAGCAATAGAACGATTGCCGTGAGTCAGATGAGTGCTTATGCTCCTTTAGAATAAAAAAAAAATCATAAAAAGAAGCAGAAGGACGGGGGAAAGAAAAGCAGAGGCGGGCCTAAAGAAATAGATGATGTACAGTATATTTTGGCAGCATATCATGCAAGAACTTGAGTGTCAGAAATGATTGACAGTAGACAAAATGGAAGGCAGTGGACATATACGATGCCAAACACTACAGGGTATAGACTAAAAGACATAATACGTACTTATTTAATTCCTATTCCTCAAGACAGGTATCATTTTAAAATAATGGATGTCTGGGAAATGATTGTTCTTAACTTCTTGCAACCGTTGGGTCACGTCTTAAATTTTCCATTCTGTTTGCTACAGATTGATGTTTGTTGATTCCATGTTTTCTAATCACGATTTCCAACTGTTTGTAGTTCAATCTTGTGTGTAGCAACAAGTATTGGCGAA